TCAGAGGTTTTCTACACCACAGGCCTAGGTCTGTATCAGCAGTTACAATAACAGAACGATAGTCAAAAAGTAAATAATGATGATAAAACTCCTTTCATGCCTGGCACATTTCCTGAGAGCAAGAGCTTAAACCAAAGCATGTATATCAGCTGTTTGATTTTCAGAATAATTAGATCTTTGCTTTGTATCAGGTGCTTCCTCAGAAAAATGTCCTGCAACAAATTTTGAGAAGAAAAAAAAAATCTGAGGTAGATTTATGGGATCCGAGGGCCCTATTTCCTGTCATATTACATGTCCAAATCTGGTTTTGTATTCCTATTAATCACTGGTGGGATTTTTTAAAAAAACATTTATAGATGTAGCAAAAAAATGCTGCCATATTTAACTTTATTTTATTTTATTTTATTTTAGGATTTATATGTCTCTCTTTCTGCCCCTAGCACCCACACAAGGGTTGGAGTGGCCCCACGGGAGTTTTGGGGCTTGGGGAAGCCCCAGCCCCAGGGGTCCTTGCTGCTACCTTGTCCCCTGAGCAAGGTGGGACCCTCAGGCAGGACTCTTGTGGCAGCCTCCAGCCCTGAGCAGCTACTCCACAGCCCAGGATCCACAGTGGGCTTTGCAGTGATATGCTAATAGACAGTTTTTCTATTCTTTAAGGCTGTAGAAGAAAGTGGTTCTGTCTGTTCAAGTATACAGCTTACTCTCATTGACCTCGCAGAAAAGCTATTGACTCTTTCCTAATCAAGTCACAACATTAAGCAGGTCTTCTGGCACCTTTCAAGCTCTGTGAAGAACTTGATAATAACTTTTAGCTTAAAAAATCAACTAACGGTACAACAATTGTTCTAGCTCTGTACCTTGTGCTGATAGAAAAGTAAATTTGCAGTTTTGAAACTTATCTGAATTGTGTAATAATAACAGTAATAATAAACCTAGCACTAATAAACAGAAGGTGACTATCATGGCTCAGAGTCACTTGTAACAGAGCAGGTTACCTGTAGAGCAAAGTTACAAAATGCTCTGATGACTTTTGTCTCCAGTGATGGCTTCTGATGGCCATTAGCTCTTTCATGTCAGCTCTTCCCCGACCTTCTTCCTCTCTACTTTCTTCCACCTTGCAGCACTGTCCTTCTGATTGACCTTTTTTTGCTCATCTCCCAGATCAAGTTATATATTATATTTCACCTGGAATGCTTACATACTAGAGATTCGAAGGGCTCACACTGACCTTATCCAAGTACCAGGTCTTGTTTCATGTTCAATCCATCTTCCTCCTTTTATTCAGGCTACTACCTCTTACTATACATACATACCCTAGCACCCTCCTTCATAATAAGGAAAAAAAAATCTTGTCAACTGTCTTTTTTCCTCATATATACTTAGCTTCTTTTTTTCATTTCAGGATACCCAATTCTGCTCCTCAAAAGTATCTCATAGATGTCTTTAATGATCATTTTTTATTGTTACATAAGAAGGCCTCTGCTTGAAATTCAGCCTCCTTAAAAAGACAAAAAGCAGCATTACTCAGACTTTATTTATAAAGTATGTTCTTCATGACTCTCTGCAGCTTTCCTTTATCATTGGCTATGCTTTCGGTATTCCTTTTGCCGTATTCTCCTTTTAACTTTTCTACTTTTCCTGCATGCCAGCTTTCCTCACAGCCCCTCACCAAGAAGTATATCTACAGGCCACAGTCTGCTGCAGTAATTAGATCCTCGGCATGGTCAGATCACAACCTCTTCTCTTGGGTACCTACTCTGCATATTAGCATTCCTCAGAACAACTCCACCTTAGAAAGTTGTCCTGCGATGCCTTCCAGCTCTTTCACATCCTTTGCTTCCCTTTCTCACTCCAACCTCTTTACTCCTAGGAGCTGGGTCCCATTTGATCTGCACCCTGTCACCTGGCTCGTTGCAGCGGGGCTCACGCTGCACAGACAAGTCAATACATCAATACATCAAAGCACTTCCCAGTACAGTGCCTTTAGTCTTATCTTTTAGGTAAGGCCACCTTTTGGCAATAGATAACCATATGTTTCCATCTCTCCTCAAATAATAGAAAACCTAATTTGGGCCAAACCTACATGTCAGCTGCTCTTACGAATCCCTTTCTACCTGTCCAGCTATCAGGTGAAGCAATTGGGAGTAATGTTGAAAAGACTCTTGCTTCCAAACCTCTTCACTTATTTTCTAGTCTGTCTTTTACTTCTTGAAATTTACATCTACCTGTCATTTTTGGACTACCTTTCTTATTCAGATTTGTTCAAAAATGACATTTCTCCCTCTAGTACACCAGAGAAGTGACTTTTTCTCTCCCTCCCTTGCACCAATATGCTCCTCCCGCATGTTGCCTGCATGTCGTGCACACCTCCCTTCTTCACTGCACAGAAAGTGCTGGTGTGAGTATGTGATTTACTGGACTGTATCTAACCTCTTTCAATCTACCTAGTGACTATCCCTCTCTTAAAACATCCCTTTGTTCTTTCATTTATGGTTCTACATGACTACTTTTCCCATTTATCTTGCCTTGCCCTTGTGTCCTTTTGTAACAAGGTACTGTGCCCTCCGAGATTGTTGTCTTCTCTAGTGTAACTGGCTCTGTTTCTACTTTCCTTTTTGCACAGAATGCTGTTCTTGGGCTTGTTTGCTCAGCAACCTCACTCCCTTTTTCAATTTCCTCTTAAAGAGCTAATTCTCCCCTGATAGTTACAATAAAGAAGGTATCTAATAATGGTCAAGTAGAAGGGCATTTACACTGATAAACGGTAATGCTTCAGTATGGAAGTGACTCATTTCAATTCTTTTTTTTTCTTTTCTTACTGGTCGAAGCAATCAAATACACACAGCGTGTTGTTATCTCTTGGAATAAGTCACTTGAAACCACACCTTACAGTTTGGTCTGCGTTATACAGTGTTGCTGACGTAGTGATATAAGCATGAGAAAACACACTCCCTCGCTTACACAGCTTTATCAGTAAATCTTTCTGGCATGAACATAGTTAAGTTATCATGGTAGTGCTTTGTCAGCTTAATTTTATTCAGAATCACTCTATGCTTTCCCATATGTCATCAGAAAAGCTTCTTTTTCAACATACACTGCACCTCCACAGAAAAGTCTCCTTGTATATGTAAATATATCAGCTATACCAGCTCCTAAACATTGACAGATCTCACCCTGAAATATAATAAAGAGCTTAACTGCACATTTTACTCCTGAGGTGGGGCCAAAAATTTAAAAAGGAACACTGCTTAAATACAAGTTCAGACTTCTAGATAGCATATAGTTGTGTGCTTGCCTTCTTTCAGTTCTTATATTCTTTTCAAGGACATATTCTTTGCGGTCATATCACCTTAAGTGATAGACAATAACGGTAAATACACTGCCTGATGGGGTCTTGAAAGGTTTCTCCTCCATATTTTCTCCATCTCCAGAGCTGTGACAACACATGTCAGAGATAAAAACACAGGATAAGAAAAAGAAATATAAAAGTGAATGAAAACCAAATAAAAACAGCGTCCTTTTCTTTTTGAAAGTCAGTGACAGAGAGGGCCCAGTCCAACTCCAAAGTACTTCAGTCCCAGGAAACGTCTAGACTGGCAGAAACTCTCCACAGCAACCCTGACAAAGAATTTGTCAAGATGTACTTCCTAATCTTCACTGTATCATTGTAGCTGCACTTAAAGGTTGGTATTATCTGGACTACTCACTAAAAAAAAAAAAAAGAAATCCGTGCAACAGTTCCGAGTTTCCAGTGTAAAATTCTGTACCATACTGAAAATTTAGGTTCATCTAAAGATAGACTCAATATAATGAAAATTAAACAATAGTGTGAACATTGTGCTGACTTGACTATGTAATTCAATAAACCCTCTGCTTTTAAAACAGGAAGCTCCACGTGGCTGCACTGGATTTACGCAAAAGTTAAGTGGCTTTGTCTCAGAATTCACGTCAAGTTTTACATGAGCACAGATGGCCAAGGCTTAAATGAAAGGACAAAAATATAGTCTCTACAATGATATTATAGCTAATGATAGAACGTGTCTTTTATGTATTCATCACTGTTTTTATTTGACTGACACAATCAAAAGTAGTTCTTTGTACATTGACAGCAATAGGTCTAATTTAAATTTAACAAGCCAAGACCAAACAACAATTCACTTGTGAGTGTACAGGTTTAATTTTTACTTTACCTAATGGGTGTACTTCAGACTTCATTACACTTGAGGCCCCAATGTGTTATGAAATGTTAATATTTTCATAATCTGTAAAAGTGATCCTAGTTAAAGGACACAAATAGAGAAGTGGATACTACCCATAAGATATCCATACACAGGGAGCATTGAAATTCCTGGGATGTAAAACCTTCACTCGTGGAACACGATATTAAAGATGTCCTCAAGAAACAGGCTTCAGTTTTGTCAGGTCTTAGACTCTAATTGCCAAGTCCCAAAAGAGCCTGAAAACTTCACTCACTATTTTTTATTCTTAGTAAGAGACTTGGTATTGAAAATACAGCAAAATGGGCAAGAATTGTGTTACAAAACTGGTGTCACCCCACACACCAACCTGGGGTTAACTGCGCCAGACTATCCACAGGCACTGCCATACGAACTGAGGCGCATTAGGGTGCAACAAAAAATCCCTCTGCAAAACAACATTTAGTCTCTTATAAACCCTACTCCAAAGCGTAACGTAGAGAGGGGTCTGCTCGGTTTGCAGAGACGTGGATACCTACGGACCAGTATTGCCGAGATAATTAAAGAGCTCTTCCATCTTGCGCCACATCAAACAAGCAAAGAGCAGGGACACAACTCCA